TGAACCAACAGAAAAATGCCAACACCACAGTGAGACATGGAGGGCATGAAGAAGGAGAAAAAGGACAAGGCACACCCAATTTCCTCCATCTTGTCCCCTTTGGACCCCTTATCTAGAATCCTAACATTTTACTTTTGCACCTGTGCCACACTTAATTATTACTTATATCAAACTCTCAGAGCTGGTAATTCATCCTGTAAGATTGAAAACTCTTTTCCATGGACAGAGATCACAAACAGTGTCTCTGGGGGCTCTGTCCAGGGGGGTTCCTGACCCCTACCAGGGTCCCAGGCCAGCCAGGACAGCCAGAGGGAAGCCCTGGACTCCCACATGTGGTGACACCAGAGCAAGGATTGGTCACACGCCTAGGAAATTACAGCTCGAGTTTCCAGAGTGTGTTGAGAGGGTGGAAGGCAGAGCTCCTGGGGAGCCTGGAGCAGAGGACATAGATGCTGGGAGACTCCAAGAGATGCCTTTGCGTGGGCTGTGGGAGGAGGAGTGCTGAGGGTCAGCCCAGGTCTCACAGAGTTGGCTGGGACAGGGCAGGATCTCCTGCCAGAGTCAGGCCTGGGCAGCCACTGCTGGCTCTGCTCAGCATTTTCCATCCCCTGGGCTGGCAGGGAGCCCAAACACCGCCCCAGGATGGCAGAGAGAGGGATCCCCAGGGGCACATGGGATGCTCCAAGGATGCTGAGCCACCTCGGCAGAGGGAAGCACTTGTCTGCCCAAAGAAAAGGCTTTTCCAGACTCTGTCAGAGCCTGAGGAAAGCCTGTTGTGGCTATTCTGAAGCACTTTGCAGTTGGAGGTGCCAAGTCTTTAGGACTTAGAGTACAGTTTTTGAAAGGACCTGTTCCCTAGAAATTCCAAATAACTGACTCTGCAGATCCCTGTGTACCAGCAGGCAGGGCAACACTCAAGGACTTGTCACGGCAGGGCTGACACCAGCCTGCTTTTTCCTAGGTGCAAATAACTGTGCCACAAATTACATCAGACTTTGCTATCCATTAACAGCTGCTCCTTTGATCTTTTGTAAGTGTGAAGGAACTGGAAGAGTTTCTTTGGGTCTAGTCCATCCCCAGGGTAGTAAATTGGCCATCTCCTGTCCCTCTATCTCTTGTAGAATCCATAAGGATGTAATGGATCTAGTGGCATCTTGCACTTTCCTCTGTCGAGGCACAAATTATGGTATTTCACCCTGGCACCTAGTGGTGAAAACCCCTGCACCCACATTTTGGACAGGGCTGTGCTGTGAATCCCCACCTGTGCTCCTTTAGGGGTTGGGCATGGTTTGTGTGGGGGTTTGGAATGGTTTGTGTTCCCTTGAACCACTGCACTTTTGGACAGAGCTGGAAGCACCAGCCTCCCCAGCACACCCCAAAGCCAGCTCCAGGGAGCTGAAATAACCTGGTGTGACTCTGCAGAGCCTGATTTCTAGTCCCTGTCATTAAACACCCGGTCGTTGAGATATTTTATATTTATTCAGATTGAGACTTGGCAGGCTTAGGTAGCAGGGAGCTCACCTCAGTGACCAGAAAGATCTGTTGAGCTCTTAAACCCATACCTCAGGCAGGATGGGCAGGGATCTGAGCACACCAGAGATGCTTTCATGGGCTGAGCTGGTGAGACTGGGCAGGAAACCCTGCTGTGTTATGCTGGTATCCAGCCCATGGGAGCTTCCTCAAAGACAGGGTCTCCAGATACCAAAAGAAGTACCCAGAGCCCCCTAAGGCACATAGGGGCTACATTTTGCTCTGAGGTCTTGAAGGGAGAAGAGGGCTCAGCATCTGGAGATTTTTCAGGCAATGCCTGAGCTGAGCCTAAGGATAACCACATCATCACACTGGAGCTGGCAGGAGAAGATGGCTGCTCCCTAAATTCCAGATTTGCCCATCACTAGCGATAATGCACTGAGAAATAAATGTCACTTACAAAATTTATGAGAGAGCTGCTTTGCTAGTCTCCTTTTTTAAGGTTAGACTAAAAATTAAACCTCATTTGGCCCCAAGGGGGAGCGGCAGGCTGTCACCGTAACAAATGTCCCGGTGTGTCACGGAGCAGCACACATGTGTGCGCACACAGCGCTCGGGAGGCAGGGAGGCGCAAGCCGAGCGTGCTGGGGAAAATCGGTATTTTTAT